TACATGAAAGTACAAATCAAAAATAGTTAAGAAATTCCTAAAGAAAAAGAATTAACGTGGGAGCACTCGCCTTACTAAATAGTAAGACATTGCAAAGCTGTAATACTTAAGATTGTGTGGACTTGGCGCAGGGCTATAGATAAAACGACCAGTGTAGCAGGAGAGAGATCTCAGAAACAGTCCCAGCATGTACATCTGAGGTCACACTGGAGACCTGTGGAGAAACAAACAGTGCCATCACTGGGTGTCCATGTGGGAAAAAGAGGGTCCATACCATGCACACACAAAAAATTCCAGACCAAAAAAAAAAAAAGTTAAAAAAAAATTCCAGACAGATTGAGGACTCATGTGTGAAGAACAAAACTTTAAATATTTGAGAAGATGAGGGGCGCCTGGGTGGCTCCGCTGGTTAAGCGACTGCCTTCGGCTCAGGTCAGGATCCTGGAGTCCCGGGATCGAGTCCCGCATCAGGCTCCCTGCTCGGCGGGGGGGGGGGGTCTGCTTCTCCCTCTGACCCTCCCCTCTCTCATGCTCTCTCTCTCTCTCTCATTCTCTCTCTCAAATAAATAAATAAATAAAATCTTAAAAAAACACAAAACTTTAAATACTTGAGAAGATGATACAGCAGAATAAATTGCTGATGTGGGTCTAGGGAAAGGTTTCTTAAACAAGACACAAAGAGCCCTAACGTATAATATTAATACATTTTGTTTCATTAAAACTAAAATTAAGACTTCTGCTTATTTGAAAACATCATAAAGAGATTAAAATAGAAAACAGCGTAGAAGATATTCACAATACATATAGCGAACAATATTCAGAATGTGTTAAGAATTTCTACGTCTCAATTAAAAAAAAAAAAAAGCAAGCAACCCAATAGGAAAAAAGGACAAAAACCATAAGCATCAACTCATACAGGCAATAAACACATGGGAAAATATTTCCTCAACCTTACTAGCAATTAGGGAAATTCCACTTAGCAATGAGATATCATTTTATATCCATTGGATTGGCCACAAATTATGGCTGACGGTAGTTAAGTGTTGGAGAGGACATACGTGAGTCAGCAGGGTCACCTTACATTGCTGGTATGAGTGTAAATTGGGCCAACCATCTTGGAAAACAATTTAGCATTATCTTCTAGAGCGACGCATATCCTAACACATTCTCTGACTGAGCAGTCCTATTCCTAAGCACGTGCACCCTAGAGAACCTCTAGCAGATAGCTTAGGCATACATACCTATGGATAAACTTGTTAAAGAGCGCGAGAATAAGAGGGTGGAACGTGTGGCAGCTCCAGGGCTGTAAGTTAGATGACATAAATAAATAAATTTCCTAAATGTTCCTTTCAAATTAAATAACTTAAAATGGAAATTTTTCACTGGGGAAATTTATATTAATAGATATATTAGCTACATGTGGTAGAAATGTTGTCAGCCAATCTCAAAGATTATTGATTGGGTAATTTGACTTGCAGGAGGCAGTGGTTAATGAAATGCATTTCATTTAGATAAAAATTGAAAAACTCTTGCACACAAGCCGTTTCTTTAGGGGTTAAGAATATGATAAACATGACATTCTGTTTCAAAAACTTTTAGGAAAATAAAAACATTCTATGGACGATCTATTTAATGAAAAACCTGCAAATCCAACACAGATAATCTGAAAATAAAACTGCCAAATAAGGGCATGAAACTATTAAAGCCTTTTTGTCATTTTTCATCAAGCACAGTGACCTCTTTGGTATATAAATTGTAGATACATTTTTTCCAGAATGAGGGCATTATAACGCTCTCCAAGAAATTCTTGAACTTTTTTGCTCAGCTGAGAAGATATTTAAATGGCAAAAACCTAATTCAAACTTATACTCTTCAGCATACACATCATACCGCGGCTGGGAAGCTTTCAGTGAGCATCAATAGTAATGAAAAATAATTCAAAGAAAACGCAGCAGGAACTAGACAAAATTCCTGTTCAAAAGACTTTGTAGGATGTTGCATCCGTATCAAGTCATATTATGCAGGTCGCAGAAACGATGACATATTTGCACTGGCAGACCTCTTGCTTAACAGTTCAACAAACCAGTGGTTTGTAGCAGGCCACACTTGGAAAATGTGTGATACATAAATGAAATAGTACTTGATTTTTGTTGTTGTTGTTGTTGTTGTTGTTCTGTTAGTTTCACAAGAGAAGAGGTTTTGAAATGTAGTGAAGCATGTTTAAACATCCTTTTCCAAATCTGCAACAGAACATCAAGACGTTTTTCCCAGAGGGAAAAGTAACCAAGTAATTTAGAAATCCAACCATCACTATCGCCTAGGATGAAACTTTAAAACTACTCAGAAGAAATTTTCAACACCCCAGGTTTTGAGCTTGAGGGGCAGGCCCATGAATAATTGAGGGCAATCATCAGCAGAGTGAAAAAAATCTCTCCATGATTTTGGAGTCCTCAGTCAATCCGAATAACCAGAACTATCTGCCAGAGTTTCCAGAACTTGCTGCAACTTCAGATGTCCTTTAACTGAGAGTTAGGGTTTTCTAACTTCATAAAAATAAAGAGTAAAAATAGAAAGTGACCCGTTGAGAAACTACATGTGTTTCATGTTGTCACAATCTTGGATATGCAGCCCATGGTGTAAGACTGCAAATGAATTTCCTCTCCAAGATACAAAACTATTATTACCATCATTATTATTAACTTTAAAGAATTAAATAGTTATTTACAAAATGGTGATGGGTCCTTTAAAAGTTTACCTAAAGTTTATGGGTCTGCATTAAGTGACCCAGAGAGGCTGAAGATTTGAGGTCCTCTGTTCACACAGTCTGCTGGGCCCCTGCAAGATTCTGAGCCTTTATCATTATCAAGTTATGCTAGATCGTGCCTGTTAAGAGTGAATGTTTCTGGTGGCCTCCACGTGGCTTCTTTTCAGGCAGGAATTAAAGAGGAATTGGGAGAGAGCCGGAGTCTTGTACATTACCCTCAGCATCTCCACTCTCAAAGAGCAGCCCCTGGCTTTGCCCTAATCACCGCTTCTGCTTCAGTCCCCTATCAGGCAGCACAAGGTCCAGGCTGAGAAACGCAGACTTGGGCACAGCTCACAATCCTGGAGTTGGAGGGATCTCGGTTGGAGTCCTGCCCGGCCACTTTCCAGATGTGTGGCTGTAGGGAAGTGACTTTCCCACTCTGAGCCACCATGTTCGCATGGGGAAAGCTCACGTAATTCCTTCATCCTGGCGGGGTGATTGTGCATCGTGAACGAGAAAACACATGTGAGAGTGTTTTGACACCTGCGATGTGTACCAGACTGAAGGGTCAACTCCCAAATCTCCCACTGCCCCAAATCTTTCCCATTCTGTTCTTCTCCAGCAGAAGCCAACCATTGCTCGGTGTTAAAGGTGGCGGATTATTGTGAGGCATGCAGGACGTCAGGGGAATCTCGAGGGGAAAGAGACGGTGACTCCTTCCTGAGTCAGGCTTCACTTCTAACCAGCCATCTTTCCTTCCATCAGCCATTCACCTACTCATCCAATAAATATCTTTCACGCAACTGAGCCAGCAAGCAACCTGTGAGCCCTCTGATTCCATGGAGTTACATCTTACCACGATGTTGCCAACACTTCTCTCGGGTACTGGCATTTGTGCTGAAACCAAAGCTGCTAACGTGGCCAGAGTGCACATCCCATCTAGCCCCGTGGTTTGGCAGAGCCAGTCTGGTGGCTTCTCTTGGACCTGCAAGCTGAAAGGCTAAGGGAAACTGAGCCCTAGAAAACCACACCAGGAGTGTCAGAATGCTCACGGGGTTTGGAAAAACCAAACCAGGTTAGTTGTGGGCTTCCTCCATCCAGTGTGACAGAGTCGTGTAGACACAGGGCGGGTGCTGAAGCGGTAGATAGACCATGGCCACATGGACAGGGCTTTGTGGTCTAGCAAAAGGGATGTCTTCTTGGCCAGGCCTGGGGAAAGCCAGGCTTCCAGAAGAGCCCTGCCAAGTTTAGGAAACAAGCAGGCTTTTCATCCTGGCTCCTCCTAGGTCTCCATGTCTAGACGTTTCCTTGGTGACACCATGGTAATTATGATGCCACAATGGAACATTCTTCCCAAGGTGGTAGAAGGAATCCCTCTGTTGAGCTCTGCTGTGTAAGGTCAGAGTGAGTTCACTTCTCCTTTGGCAGTAGCAGTTCACAGAAGACTCTGAGAGCCATCCAGACAAGAAACATCCAGTGTCATGAGTGGAACCTGGTGACTGAGAATGGCTATTGTGCATTGTTTGAGGCAAGGGTGGGCCTGGTGGTATGGCAGATGATGAGACACACGTGGGCTTTGAACTCAGACTCCCATTCAAATTCCAGCTCTACCACTTGGCAGTCGTGTGACCTTGGGCAGGCTTCTCAGTGTCCAAATGTCAGTTTCTGGATCTGTAAAATGGGGAGAGTGATCCTGTCTACCTCACAGGGTTATTGTGCAAATTAACTGAGCTAAATGTTGGGCAGTTACTATGTAAAAGTACAAGCTCTCAGTAGTTAAAAGAAATCCCAGCATTATTTAAGCCCTTCTGAGGGTAGTAGGATGGGCAAAAGTGGGGGTGAGCTTGCACTAAACCCTGCTTTTCCTTTCAGCAGCATTTTATGGCTACAGAGTTAAGAAAAGGGTCGAATTCCATGAGTCAAAAAACAACCCTTTTCTGAACCCCAAGCTCTGGGAAGCCCGGGGACCCTGGCTGGATCGAAGAGAAAACTGACAAGGTTGGGCTACCTCCTCTCCGTGGGCCACCTTACCAATCCTAAGAATATCAGCGCTGGACAGCTGATCCCAGAGCTCTTCACTGCACGGAACCAAGCAATTGGGTTGTGACAGGTCTGTTTCCCACGTCTTGGAAGCTTCATCAGGGGAAAGGAAAGAGGCAGGGCATCTGATGCTGGGGGTGGGGGAGGGAGTCACCACTTTGGGGAGGAGAGGAAAAGCCTGTGCCTTTGGATGTTGTGTTTTCACAGCTGCCCATGGTGTCCACTGCGGTTCGCTTTGGGGATGGCAGAGATGCTAGGGATGCTCTTAGTCCTGCTCTGTGTCTCTCACTCTTCTGCCAGTGAGTGTGCTTCTTTCTTCCATAAGGACTTCAGCGGCTCGTATCACATGGCAGGGGGAATTGTCCAGGAAAAGGCCCTTGATGTCCAGAGAGGGACCCAGGGGGAAGATGACTCACAGTGCTCTGCATGGGTGGTGGGAATCAGGCAAAGAAGGGGACCATGGGGCATGGATGTAGGCGACTGGCTTCAGCAGTCTGATGTCAGCTGATCCTCCAGCAAGAGTGTCTTTAGGAAGATAAGTCTTAGGCTACTGAAAGGCCTGTTCAGAATGCCCCCCTGCTCTTCCTGGGGCTCATCCCCCAAGCACCATCAGGTGGGGGATGTCCTCCCCATGCCTGGGGGGCGGGCGGCCTGCGGTGCATCTGGCACACTTAGGAACCATGCCCTCCCTGTTTCTACTTCAGCATTGTTGTTCCAATGAAACCTTTTCTCTTTAAACCAAAAGAGTGTATTGCTAAACTGACCCTCAGTTGCAGGGCTGGACCCAGGAGCAAGGAGGTACTGCTGGGGCCTCAGTCCTTCCCTAACCTCCAGGTTGTCCAGGACTAAGATTCCAGCCTGGAAAGGGACAGGTGGAGAGGGGGCACCTGACTCAAGCAAGCTCTGTCATATCTGGCTGCCACCCCAGCTGGCTCTGTCCTATCTTCCCAGAGTTAGATGGGAGACATGACAGAGCATCCAATTCCCTCCACCCCCCCCCACACACACATCAAGGGGAGAACTCCCTACCTTCCTAGCCTACTCCACCTCCTTGCAGCCCCAAAGAGACCAAGGGATGCGCACAAAACACAAAGCACCTCTCCTCCCTCTTTAAAAGCCTCAGGCAAGTGACCCAGGGCAAACATTTCATCTCTGGGTCAGATTTCCTCATTATATACAAGGGTTTTATAATGTCAAATAAACTAGCCAACTAGAGCTTTGAGAAAGCAAAAGTCATCACCCACCTGTAGGTTCTTGTTGGGTTGGTAAGATTCATACCTTGTTCACTAGACATTGCAATGTCCCATGAATTGAATAAATGGCTGAAAACGTAGCCACCAATGATCTGACCCATAGTAGGCTAGTGGTGCCCACCACGTCACACCATCACCCAGGGCCACCGATTTAGAAACAAGTACTGAGTACTTGTGGTTTGGGATTTATAAACAGCAACCAGAGTAGTGGTTTACATTAAAAAAAAAAAAAATCCTGCCTTGGGTTTAGTATTATCAGTCATGAGGATACAATTTGCAAAGCACCTTCCCATAACCTCACCTCATGTGATCTTTACAACTCCAAGAGGTGTGTTACCACACATTTCAAAAGAGGAAACTGAGTGGCTGCCTTCAGCTCAGGTCATGATCCCAGGGTCCTGGGATCGAGCCCCGCATCGGGCTCTCTCTCTCTGCCCGCCTCTCTGCTTACTTGTACTCTCTCTCTATCTCTCTGTCAAATAAATAAATAAACTCTTTAAAAAAGGGGGGGGCGGAAACTGAGGCCCAGATAAGTGAAGTGGCTTGTCCCAGGTCTCAGAGCACAGGGGCCAACAGTATGTGGGACACTGCATCCAGGGCTCTCCCAAAACACTAGTGGCTCTCAATCCTGAACACACATTAGAAACTACCTGGGGAGGCTGTTTCAAATGCCAGTGCCCAGGCCCCATCTGCAGGGGCCTGGGAAGTGCTGGGCAGCACATGAATGAAACATGCAAGCAGGTTGAGAACCCCTGCACTCCACTCTGCATACTGAGGATGAGGCAGGCACCTCTAGGTCCAATAAGGAGGCTGGGCTCGGGGACTCTTCGGACAGAGCATATGGCATGGGAGGGAAGACACAGGGCAGGAAGGAAGTCAGCAGCCAAGGAGAGCAAAACACTCCATGTGTATGCCATCCCGTAATGGTGCCTGGAAAGTAGGAGGCTTGGCTCACCCAGCCTAGGGCTTTGTGCTTCAAGGGTCCTGCCTGCTATATCATGGTTACACTCTCCATGATTCTAGGAATATGGACCGCTTTTTTAAATACAGGGCAATACAGCATCTCGGGTGAAACCAGACCTGGCAGGGGGAGAATATTATTTAAAACTTTAGTCAACATTTAACTCTCATTTGAAACAAAGTCCAGACTCCCCAAGAGACTGCCCGGTTGGAGGCAACTCACTTGAGGGCTTGGAGTCAAAGGCCAAGCTGGCCTGAATGGGTCAGATACAGCCTCCATCTGGTGGGGCCTTTTAACCCCTTGATGACAAGACCTCAGGAAGTGCTTGATATGGCAAAACACTTTTGTTCATTCACCAGGTGATTTAGTGAGCACTTACTGTGGGCCAGGCACTGTAGTAGCCTCTAGGGGTACACTGGCAAGCAAAGCAGACATGCGGGAGACTCGCATGCCAACTGCTCAGGAAGGGAACAGCAAGGGCAAATCCGAGGATGTGAAATGTGGCTAGAACAGAGACTATGAGGGGTTGAAGGTGTATGGAGTTTGAATTCCAGCCTTGTATCCTACCAGCTGTGTAACTTGGACAGTGCTTACCAGCTCTAGAACTCGATTTTCTCATCTGTAAATGGAGAATGACAGTGTCCACCTCCAGTTGTGTTGGAGGAATTATATGAAGTAGTATATATCAGCAGTGTTCAAACTTTTTGGTCTCCAGACCCCTTTATACTCTTAAAAATTATTGAGGACCCCCCAAAGAATTTTTGTTATGAGGCTGTATCTTCCCATCTTTACCATATTAGCAATTAAAAACTGGAAAATTATAAAACACAAGAATACACAGGCTCACACGTGTTATTAGCCGTGAGTGATGACATCATGCAGCCTCTGCGAAAGTCCACTGCACACCAGTGAGAGAATGAGGGTGAGAAAAACAAATACTGTCTTAGTGTTCTTATGAGAACAGTTTAAATTTTGCAGACCCTGGAAAGGGTCTTGACTTCCAGAGGTGCCAGACCATGTTGAGAACCACTGATGTACATAAAAGTTTTCAGATACTGACTCAAGTGTGCTGCTAAGTGCCCAACAGAGGAGAGTGATTATCGATAGTCTAAGGTTATTTTTAGACTCAAAGATGTCATCAACCATCTTATATGGCGAAGAAGACCCACTAGGAAGAGAAACGAAGGGGCGGCGGCAGAGTTAGTGGCGACCAAGATGGAGAGCCAGAAGGAGTGGGGAACCAGCAGGAAAGGGGGTCCTGAGGTCTGATCTTTGCCCCAATGGTGAGGCCCCACACACCTTCCCTGCAGGTTGTGGCATTCAGAAAACCAACGTTATGGAAATTTCTGAGGAAGGTTTGGTCAACGACAAGGAATTCCCATGGGTGGTGTCGCTGCAGGATTCCCAGTACACCCACCTGGCTTTTGGCAGCATCCTTAGTGAGTTCTGGATCATCAGCATCGCATCCGTCTTGCAGAACAGGCCAGTACCCCTGCCTTTGGGACTTACCCAGTCCCCTGGGGGTAGGGGTGGAGGGACCTTTTCCTGCTCATCTTGGGGAGGCCTGGAAGGTGGATTCCTCGTAACAGGGCAACAGGGCTTTTTACTGGCTCGGCGCTTGCTCTGCCAGGACTCTTGGGGTCTTAAAATCACCAGTTGCCAAAGTCATGCTGTCCAATGTGTTCTCTGCGTTGGGGACTACAAGGTGAAATGATTGTTCCTCCATCCTCCGCAGGAAGGATATCCATTCCCATTTTAGTGCAATCACAGGTACTGACTCCTGATACTAGAGGTCCTTACTCTAGTCTTGTTAAGTGAATTGATAGGAGCCTGTACCTTAAAATACTTAATCTCAAGCCTTAACAATGTGTCTGCCACAAATATAGGTACACAGAGAAAAGACTTGAAGGAAATACGCAAATACTTTAAGAGCTCTTATCTCTGGATGCTCAGAATGCACATGATTTCTATTTTCATCTTTGAACTTCTCTATTCCTCAAATTCTATACAGTAAATATGCATTCTTGTAAACCAGGGAAAAAAACCCAAAAATTATTAAAGGAATAATTTTTTTGTAAAACATCTTACTTTTTGACCCAATGATTTCACTTTTGAGACTCAACATTAAGGAAATAACTTCAACCACTGGAAAAGTTTTATGCACAAAGTTCATAGGACGGTTTGTTACACACAAAACACTGGAAATGTAATGTCCAATTATCATGGATAAATAAATTATAGTTACTCTTTCATATGTATAGCATATAATACATAGTATATAATATGTATAGTTACATATATATATATATACTGTTTACATGCCTTATACGTGTATAAATGTATATACACAAAGTATGGGGGAGAGATTATAATTACTATTCTTGGCTAAATAATAGTATAAACCCTTAATGGAATATTGTACAGCTGCTGAATTTTTCACACCTATGATTTATATTATTTGAAAATACATGCATTTATTTTTTGAAAATACATGCATTTAAGTGAAAATACATATACATAGTATAATGTTCAGGAGGAAGCAAAGGGTATACAAGGAAAAGCAACTCCTTCTTTCCCCTGGCCTTCAGAGACTAACTCCCTCCCTTAAGCCATAGTCACGTCATCAGTTTCTTGAATATTCTTCCTTAATTAATGCATTTATGGATATCTATATACCTATAGGTCTATCTATATTGATTCTTACATCTATTGACAGAGAAAGAATTTTCCTTCCCCCTGTATTAATCTGTTAGAACTGCCATAACAAAATGCCACAGACAGGGTGGCTTAGACAAGAGATATTTATTTCTTACCATTTGGGAGGCCAGAAGTCCAAGATCAAGTCCAAGATCAGCAGGACTGGTTTCTCCTGAAGATTCTCTCTTTGGCTTGCAGACCACTGCCTTCTCGCTGTGTCTTCACATGGCCCTTCCTCAGTGCGTGTACTCCTGGGGTCTCTGCTTCCTCTTATAAGGACACCAGACCTATTGGATTAGAGCCCCACACTTAGGAGCCCATTTAAACTTAATTACCTCCTTAAAGGCTCTCTGTCCAAATACGGCCACCTTTGGGGCTAGGGCTTCACCTACAAATTTGGCAGGACACAGTTCAGTCTATAACAACCCCAATACAGCTGGTAGCACACCAACACAATGTTACACTTGTAGCCTTTTTCACTCTATCAGGAATGTTGAGCCATCTTTTCTGGCCGTTACCCGGAGAGCTCCCACATTTATCAGCTGCGCAGTATCCCAAGATGGATCTACTATAATTGCAGAGTCCTCTATTAATGGAAATTTGGGTTGCTTCCGATCTTTTATTAGTACCAAAAAAATGCTGCCGTCGATATACTTGTACATATGTTATTTCACACACATGCAATATACTGTAGCATGAATAACACAGGAGTGGAAAGACTGGGCCAAATATTGGTAGCTGTTGCCAACGAGCCTTCCAGAAAGGTTCTGCTTTCCATGGAGTGTTTTCATTATTGCTATTTTCTATCTGGTTTGTTTTGGTTTTGATTTTCCCTTTGCCTCAGGGTTTTATTAAAGACAGAGTTTTTAAATACCCAGGTAGAGGGGTGTTTTGTCTGTTTTGTCTTCTGGCATTATTGAATTTTGAGTTATACTACATGGTGATCTGATCTATTTAGGAATTTGTTGGGGTTGTCCTTGTGGTCTACTATATGTGATCCATGTGAATATTTTCTGCAGTTAAAATTCAAATTTCATTCTCTGTCTTTGGTGTACAATTTAATATATAATATTGGGGAGGTAATCTCCTTGATCTGTCCTAGGCTGCTAAAGGTAAGTGAAAATCTATCATGAACAAGCATCTGGCTTTTTCTATTTCCTGGAGTGTTCCCTTTGTGAACATTATGTCATGTGTTATAGATGTTTATGACTATGATGTTTTCACTGTAGACTGAATTCTTTCTCATCACTAACAGCCTGTCTTACTTCGTGCTCTTCTCTTCTGAACTGATGGTAGGAATGAAACTCCTGCTTCTTGTTTTTATTTCAGGTTATGTTTTCTGCTTTTGTTGCTTCTGGTTTTCTTTTCACTCTGTCACCTTTGTTTTGTTTTGTATGTCTCTTCTGACAAATTTGGGAAGTTTGAGTTTTTGTTCTGGCCTTCATCTTAAGAGTTATAATTTCATGGAAGATGACTACATCCTCAGTTTCTCTCTGGACTGTCCTCTTAGACTCTGCTGTGGTTCCTTGGGTGATTCCCAAGACGAGAAAAGGAAAACACCCAAAATGAACTCCATCATTATTAAAATCGGAATTTCTCTGAAGAGTATTTACAGAGTAGCTAATACGAAAAGATGTTTATGTAAAAATGTTAAGTGCTAAAATCAAGAGTCAAGATTACATTTTGGGCTTAACAATGACTACGTAAAAAAAAAACAAACATGGAAAAAGCATGAAAAAAGATAATCAGCCATAACTTAACAGATTATCTTTGGGTGGTGGGACAAATGAGGTTCAGATAGAGGATTCCCAAGATGCTGTGGGCCCACAAAGGAGGACACAAGCCTAGGGGTTCAGAAAAGATTTCCTAGGCACTGGGTCCAAAGGGGTCAGTAAAAATTAGCCCAGAAAAAATGAGTTGGATGAGTATTCCAAGCAAAAAATAAATAAATAAATATGGAAACAGGGAAGGGTGACTCTTCCATCGCGCCTAGGTTTCTCAAGATTCCCTTGCTCACTCTCTCTCTCTAGGAAGGACGTCATTGTTATAGTTGGCATAGCTAAGATGGATGCCAAAGTGATTGCTCATGAAGAGTATCCAGTCAACACCATCATCATCCATGAGGATTTTGATAATAAAACCATGACAAATAACATAGCCCTCCTGAGGACAGACACGGCGATAGGGTTCAACAACCTGATCCAGCCCATCTGCTTCCTCGACAGAAAGCTGAACATGCCCCCAGCCTTGCGGAACTGCTGGGTGGCAGGATGGAATCCCACATCTGCAGTTAATGCCTGCCTTCTCCTAGAGGAGGCTGTGTGTGTGCTGGCGGAGGGGGTGACTTGGATGAACCATTCTAGGGCTTATCTTAATAATTCAGGGTGCTCAAGGTTCTGGAGTTGGGCTGGAAACTTCATGTAATCAGTCAAGATTTGTAATGCTTGCCTTTTTTGTGGCCATTCTTACATTTGGTCCTTTTTCTTCTAGTCCTACACCAAAATTAGAAGTACGTAGGCAGCAAAGAGCCTGAAATGAGTACAGTTATGGGGGGGGAGGGCAGGGGATATTATTCCCTGAACTGGAGCTGATTATCCTGTTGGCTAAGCCATCCTTGTTTTCTTTTATTCTTGGGAAATGAACAAGGAAATGTATTCTCCGTAGATGTGGAAGAAGGGTGGACTATGTTCTTGATTTTCACATTCAAGTTCAAAGCAAAGGTAGTTTTCAGAAAAACTCAGACACAGGTTCTAATTTCTATAAGGAAAAGGGGTTTATCAGAGCATTTTCTACTCGTTCCCATCTGGATATGTGAGCTGTAGTTGAGTTGACATATAGGCAATGTATTCTTGTTAATAATTCTTGGCTCTCTGTTGCATGGTCCAGACAGGAAATCACATGACGATGAGTATCCTGAGGAAAATCTCCGTGAAAGACATCGACCTGTGTCCCTTACACAAAATCGAGAAAACAGGATGTGGCAATCACATAGAGCAGGAAACCGATGCTGTCTGCTTGGTAAGAACATGATGGAATAAAAGCTAAAGGCTGAGAGTAAGCAGTGGTCACTTCAAGGGAGGTGGGAGAAGGGAGACTCTCCCTCATTGCGTGCTGAACTCCATGAGGGACTGGCAGGGACTGGCACTTGGGATTCAAGGCTGTCTCCGGCACTTGGCAGACAGCAGATGCTCAATAAAAATCCACTGAATGGACTAAACAGTCACTATTTTCAATGTGACATGATTAAGCATGTCTAAGTCATAGGTGTTTCTCACTGGCTAAAAGTTTGAAAGTGTGAGTCCAAACCATGCATGCAGATATACTTCGGGTATGTCCACAGGGTGGGGTCATTGTATTCAGCTTCTATGGAACCTGGACTCTGATGCTATTGTTCATCAGTTATTGAAGTTTTTTTCTGTAAGAAGCCCTGCCCTTCATCCGGATGAGGGCTGTATAGATGTGGTTGTTCTACTGCCTCAGCAAAATGGATGGAATTCACAAACCCTTGGCCCAGGCTCCCTCATGTCCATACCCAGAGGAGGTGTGGTTTACAGAGGTCACACAGTTAATGTTACAGTAAGGATGAGAACATAGGTCCACCAGATTTCCAGGCAGTTTCTTTCTTCCACTCCAAAATTTCTAAGGTGCTGATCATCTATTCTCCTTCAAGTAACTTTCAGGATTCCCTGGTGGGGAAATTTTTTTTCCAGATGATCTAAGGAAAGCATTTTATTTTATTTTATTTTATTTTATTTTATTATTTATTTGAGAGAGAGAGAATGAGAGAGAGAGCATGAGAGGGAAGAGGGTCAGAGGGAGAAGCAGACCCCCCACTGAGCAGGAAGCCCGATGTGGGACTCGATCCTGGGACTCCAGGATCATGACCTGAGCCGAAGGCAGTTGCTTAACCAACTGAGCCACCCAGGCGCCCTAAGGAAAGCATTTTAGAGAGAGGGGACAATTCTTTCTAAAAGTAATTTTATTGCAAATGTGTGAAGGACTGCCTTTCATTAGGCAGTAAGTTTGCCTTTCCAAAGTTGGTTCAACATTTATTGAGTGCCTACTTTGTTGTTTTTTAAGATTTATTTACTTATTTGAGAGAGAGAGAGTGAGCAAGAGAGCGAGCGAGCGAGCGAGCATAAGTGGGGGCGGGGGAGGGGGGAGAGGCAGAGGAAGCAGCAGACTCCCCGCTGAGCAAGGAGCCTGACTCAGGGCTCGATCCCAAGACCCTGGGATCTTAACACTTAACAGACTGAGCCACCCACACACCCCTGAGTGCCTACTTTGTACTGGACTCTCTACCAGGTGGAAGACTAACAACTTTTTAAAGTAGATAATGTGTTAAAATACAGTAGAAAACATAGCTATTTATCAAAATCCTATTAGCCATTCCATCGATCCAGCACCTTATTTCATCAAACCTAAGATGCTGTCAGTTGTAGAATGCACCATTATTTAATGGAATATCAAGAGAGAAAATGCTGCCTCCAACCAATTAAAAGACACATCTCATTCCCAAGATGTTCATTTTTCAAGAGCATCTTAGATTCAAAGGAATATGGTAAGCTGCTCATACTCTAAATGATTACCTCTTTAAATCTAACTACAAAGTTCAGATTGGTTTTTATCTATTGGTTTTTACCTGGAGCACCCCTGCAGGCAGTCCTTTGTTTTTGAACTGTGCTTGCAAACTGGATCAGACCAACAGTGACTTGTCTACCTAGGATCCTTTCCTCTCTCAGAAAAGTGTTCTAGTGTCCAGAGATCCTCAAAGTCATTCAAATATGTAGATGGTGGTAGAATAAATCACCCAAGTCCAGTATCTGCCTAATGGGTCCCCAGAAACCCAACCCAAAGCAGAATCACTGTGAATTCACCTCTTCCCTTTTCCCCACAACTGTTAGGGCTTTCATTCAATGTCAAGGTTGAGGATCACACAATGAAAGAGCCCCTCTAAGCTGGGGCTGCTCCCCTGGGAGATAAGGTGGGGCTGCTCCAGAGGAGCCCCTGTACTACTTCTCTCAGCTGCTTGGGCTTCAGAAGTCCTGTCCCACAGCTTATGAGGAAGAGAAAAGCAGTGTATTCTACCCCCGGGGTGGAATGGCGACTTGCAAAACCATGCCACAGCCGGGCAGGTCTGTTACACAGTCATTCATCAAACCATTTGTCCTAAATTGCATCGTTTTTCTTCTTCAAGCTATGAAACCACAGCTAAAGTAAACTGGGGGTGGGACTGGTGACAGGAAAGGCGACCAGGCCATGCTTGGCCCGAGAACCTCTCTGCCCCAGGCAGACATGATCGGGTGCAGATGGGAGCCGGTTCAACAGTCCTTCTCACTGCCAGCCACAACTTGGGATGAAAGCTCTTCCCTCTGCTCCATGGCAGCCTGGGGCGGCAAGAGCAATGTGGGCTTGCCCCGTCCTTCTACAGAGGCAGACCACGCAAATCAAAGGGGCTGTCTAGCCTTTGATTTACAACCCCTCTTGGGGCAAAATGGACCACAGGGCTGGAGTGGGGGGTCAGGTATTCCCTTAAGGGGAGGCTTGGAGTGGGGCAGGTAAGGTAAATTATACCTAGCAATTGTCTTGTTACTATTCCTGTATTTCTCAGCTTTCCACCTAAAAATGATGGCCTTTTCTAGACACCAGGATAATGGTAACTAATTCTATACTGAATACAGACTGTATGCCAGGCACTGTGTTAGGAGCTCTGCATGTGGTACAGGCACTTTAACTCGGAGACCAGTAGGTGACTCACCAGGGTCACATATGTGGGGAAGGGTGCCAAGCTTCCAGGCACTCCCTCAAAGTGAGATAAGGTCTGGCAGAATCGCCAAGTGGCAGAGGACTTCCTGTGGGAGCGTGGGCAGGGCTGATGAGCAGGGGCCCAGACAGGCAGTTGTCAGGGTGGCCAGGCTGTGAAGCTGCCCGGCCAGTGCTCCCAGGGGAAGTGTGACTCTGACCTCGACCTTGGCAGGAGTGTGGGGAGGAGGGAGCAGATTAAATGAAGGATGGAAACAAAGCAGAGAGGAGAAGGAAAAATGGGAGCATTCCAGGCCAGAAAGAGGAGGGGGGGAGTCAACATTTGAGGAAAGAGAAACCAAAAGAGAGTGAGGATTTAGTCAAAGAGGCATGAAAATGAAATGGCAACCGGGAAGCTAGAGCCAAACTGCAGAAGCCTACAAATAATTTGCATAATAAAAGAAAAAGTAATCTTGTTGGAATTTGTGGTAGTGGCCGCCTAGTTTGGAATTGGTATCCTATAATTTACCCCATCTCCAGTGAGAACTAGTGTAAAACATTTCTAGAAGAAATAGTAAATTGCACAAGGATATATTTTAAAAAACAAACAAGTTTTTCTAAGACCTGAAGCCTTCTGTCTTTTGTCACAGGGGGACCCAGGAAACCCGATGATGTGCCAGCTACAGCAACTGAATATGTGGGTGCTGAGAGGAATCTTGTCCCATGGTGGTGAGAATTGCCCTGGCCTATTTCTATACATCAAGGTGGAAGACTATAGCGACTGGATTATGTCCAAGACTAAGAAAACCAGCCGTCCTCTGTCTTCCTTCCACCCCTGGGAGGAACCATTTCCTTTCTCCAGCTACTCATCACATATCATCGTGACACCAAAGAAACATTCTGGGCTGGGCCAGAGTGAATGGTCCCAAGCAGACGTGCAAGAAGAAAATAAGGTCACCTTATATACATTCCCAACAAACAGCTCTACAGAGAGTCCAGACCTTGAGGAGAAAGAGTTAGGGGAATTAGGCAAGTCTTCTGCTGTGGCCGTAGATCCCACTTACTATGACTATTATGGGGAGGCTGGTAAGGGTAGTGGGCCTATTTCAGGTCAGAACAGGTTACATCAGCCCCAAGAAATTATCTTGTTTTCCTTTGTGCTTGTTTTCTTTTGCAATGATATCTAGTCTAGGAGCTAACCCTCCCAACTGAAGAGTAAGCTCAGAATGCTGAGTGTCAGGCAGCCACCATGCTGTTTTGGTGTGTTTTTTTTTATAGTTGGCACACCTGGGCTGCCGCGGACAGGCCCACAGTGCATAGGGGCTGGCTCTCTCTTCTCTGTCCCACTCCCACATGCGGGAAGGTCACTTTCCTTTGTGCTTGTGAACTAAATGTGGGCTAACAAGTGTCAAACCATTAGAGTGCCCTGTGGTTCTTTCAGTGTTAACGGTTCCAGGACCCAGACTGTGCAAACACTCCCCACGGGCAAATGTGGCCAGGGAAGTGCCCGGCTGGAGAGTCGGGGACACCAAGCAGCACAGGAAACAGTAAGAGGACCCCTTGACTGGAAAGGAGCTGATTACTTTAATGGATCACTCTGGTCTGCAGCCGTGGCCTCCCTCTGGCTATTTCTCAGGGGGGCAAATTGCCTGCAACTGCTCATTGGTGGTTTTCATTTTATTCCACGCCTTGCGGTAGCCTTTTAAGGACATCTGCAAAAAAGGAAAAAGGGGGTGGGGGGGTGGGGAGAAGGTTATTTGGGAAAAAGCAATTGTGATTTTTCAGAATGCAACCGCATCTAGCCCTGCGAGGATGCAGAGGCGTCTGTGTGGGGCAGTGCCAGGCTGCAAGACTCTTCCAAAGAGCTTGTTTCTGTTCAGTGAAGTGAGAGGTTGCAGGTTCCTGCGGTCTTACTTCTCAGCTCCAAATGTGATGGGCCGAAGTTTGGATCCTAATTCACTCCCTGCCACCAAGTGGCCATGAGAAGAGCAGGAGAAAGTACTGTGGGAAAAGGAGCCTGGGTCTAGATGTGAAAACGCCAGGCTTCCAAAGTGACCTGCCTGGGTTTCTGAGCTACTCTGCTGATGTCTCCAGTGTCCTCAGTATGCAACCCGGCTTGTGGCAGTCCTGGTGCTTTCCTTTCCTTTTTTCTGACCCTTTGCATGTTTCCCGTTTCTCTTCTGCACTCACGAGGGGCTAGGGTGCTCTGAGCACACTGTATCATACAGAAAGGCTATGGGGTTATCAAAAATGAAAGACCCATGGCAACTATGTAAATGCATGGAATCGGGTTCTGAGTGGTATTAAAAATCCATTATTATCTCATTTAAAAAAAAAAACTGGCTTCTCCATGTATAAAGTATCAATCCCTAAATCACCAAATGGTGGGGGAAGGGATTCAGAAACTGCCAGAATTCATTAAGAAAACAAGCAACTAAAAACGCACAATTACTACCGAGTCTCTTCCTGATCACCTGAAAAGACCCTGTCCCTAACACTGAAAAGGGAACTTAAAAAAAAAAAAAAAGGGTATCCTTCATTTTCCTGCCAGACTTGAAGGGACTGCTGGGATTTCGCACAGACATCACGTGTCCAAACTTTGGTATTCTTGCCTTGAAAAGCAAAACCCTAGACAAGAATGTGAAGGATATAAAAGATTGCCTGTCCTGCGGTTATCTGAGACTTACCTCTGCAATCTCCACTTTCCTTTCCCACATCTTGATGGTCTTCTCCAGGTCCCCATTTAAGACCTTCTCCCGCACGTACAGCATCACCTGCGGTGTGCGGAACTCGGCCAGCTGTTTGCGGAGCTTCTGGTTCAAAGCCTTGGCCTTGGCCCGGTCCTGGGTTGGGAAGGACCTATTAAACCAAAGATCCTGGCAGTTCTGGCTTATGGGACTTACTGGCCCTGACATCTCTCTCTCCCCAGTTTCAATGTAGTTCTCAAAATAATGTTGAAATTTTCAACATGATGATTGTTTTGTTTTGTTTTTTTAACAAATGGTGATGTTTTCATCCAGCTCAGAAACACTAAGCGTGGTCTAAAACATACTTTTTTCTCTTCCGTCCTTCCTTTATTAAGGAATTTGTTTTTCCTTATTGTGATTTCTTAGGTTTGGTGGGTTTTCTGGGGGAAAACTGTGTACTTAAGAACACTTTGACCAGTCTCAACTCACTTTCCCGTCTTTTTGTAAAATATATGTAACATAAAATTTCCCATTTTGACCACTTTTAAGTGTGCAGTTCTGTGGCATTCAGTATACTCAGTGTTGTACGAGATTCACCACCATCCACCTCCACAACTTTCTTCATCTTGCAAAACTAAACCCCTGTACCCATGAAACACTGACTCCCCAGAACCCCTTCCCCTAAGTCCTGGCAACCACCCATCTACTTTCCATCTCTATCAATTTCATTCAAGTACCTCGTGTAAGTGGAATCATACAATACTTGTCCTTTTGTGACTGGCTTATTTCACCCAGTATAATGTCTTTAGTGTTTATCCGTGTTGTAGCATACGTAGCATTTCCTTCCTATTTAAGGTTGAATTATATCCCATTGTATGTATATATTACATTTTGCTTCTCCATCTGCCAATGGACACTTGGGTTGCTTCTACCCCTTGGCTATCATGAATAGTGCTGCTATGAACATGGGTGTACAAACATCTCTTCAAGTTCATGCTTTCAGTGATATTGGGTATGTACCTAGTAGTAGAATTGCCAGATCAATAGTTATTCAATTGTTTGAGAAATCTGTCTTTTCAAGTTTTGTTTTTAAAATAATCATTCAGTAAAATTTAGTCTTTTTCTTTTAATTGAGTGGATTTTTTTAAGATTTTATTTATTTATTTATTTGACAGAGAGAGAGAGAGAGACAGCGTTGAGAGGGAACACAAGCAGGGGGAGTGGGAGAGGGAGAAGCAGGCTTCCCGCCGAGCAGGGAGCCCGATGCGGGGCTCGATCCCAGGATCCTGGGATCATGACCTGAGCCGAAGGCAGTCGCTTAACCAACTGAGCCACCCACGTGCCCCTAATTGAGTGGATTTTTTGAATTAGCAATGTCCTTCTGCTTTTTATTTTATTTTACAGATTTATTTATTTATTTTAGAGAGAGAGAGAGTACATGAGCAGGAGGGGCAGAGGGAGAGAGAGAGAATCTCAAGCAGATTCCCCACTGAGGACAAAGCCTGTCACTGGGCACTATCTCAAGGCAAGTGGGACGCTTTGCTGACTGAGCCACCCAGGCACCCCGTTTTTCATTTTAACAATTATTCTGAATAGGCAATACGTGCAATTTAAACAGTATAAAAGTATACAGTGACAATCTCCCATCCTACCCTGTCCCCAGCCACACAGTTCTTCCCAGAAGCATGCACTATTTTTAGGTTTTGAATATTCTTCTAGAGATCTACACTCATATAAACATATATATTTACCTTTTTTGTCCAAAGAGTAGCCAATGCTATTCACTTTTACTCCTCCAACTTTTTTCCCTCAATAAATATCAGCACAGCTGTATCAGCACACAAAAAACCCTCTTTTTAACAGCTGCATCATTTTCCATTGTGTAGATGTACCCTAATTTTAACAAGTCCTCACAGTCAACTCAGCTCCTCAATCTCCTGCTAGTACGATAATGCCGTGACTACTAATCTCCTGGGTGGAGTCATACTATAAATGTGCAAGTACATCAGTAGGATGAACTAGTGAGAGTGAAATTGCCTGGTCTAAGACAGTGGTTCTCAACTGGGGGGTGCAGGGGAGACAATTTTGCTCCCAGGAGACATGGCAATGTCTGGGGACATTCTTGGTTGTCACAACTAGGAGAGGGCCACTGACACCTAGTAGGTAGAGGCCAGGGATGCCACTAAACACCCTACTGGGTACAGGACAGTCCCCCACAACAAGGAATTAGCTGACCCAAAATGTCAGTGGTGTCTAGGTTGAGAAGTCCTGCCATGAGCATGTTTGGTACAGAACGCTAAATTGCCTTCTCTAACGATTAAGCCTCTGCACCAATGTCTGAGGCTGCCTGTGTTTTTGCCCATTCTCTCAACAGTCTTAACAAATTTTTTATCATTGCTAATCTAGGAGAGGGGGAAGTAGTCTCTCATTACAGTTTTATTCTGCATTCCTTATGAGTGAGGTAGAATATTTTTCATAAGTTTGAGACTTTCTGGCTTTTCTGTAAACTGTATAAATCTTTTGCCCATTTTGTCTATTTTTTTGTTAGATTTCTCCACTAATATGTAAAAGATATTTGTGTTTTAAGAAAATTTACTCTCTGTGATACTAGTCAACACATTTTTCCAGTTATTTATTTTTTGGCTTTGCATATGATGGTTTTTGCTATGCAGAAAAACTTCACTTTTATATTACTGACTTTATAAATTGATTTCGTGGTTTCTGGGTTTTATACTTCAAAAGTCCTCCCCGATCCAAGATTATAATAAAAATGACCATTTTTAAAGAATTAAAGGAACATATAATGATAATGTTTCATCAAATAGAGAACATCTATAAAGAGAAATTATTTTTAAAAAAAACAAATGGAAAATTTGGAGTATTTTCAATACAATACCTGAAATGGAAAATTCGTAAGAGGAGATCAGAGATTTAAGTCAGCAGGACAATTAGTAAACTTGAAGGCAGACTGATGGAGATCATGCAATATGGAAAACACAGAGAAAAAAGAAGAAAAATTCAGTCTCAGAGAAATATGTGGAACACTACTAAGTGTACCAACATTCACGTAATGGAAGTAACAGAAGGAGAGAAGAAAGAGAAAGGAAAATATGTTCAAGGAAATAATGGTTGAAAACTTCCAAAATCTGATGAAAAATATTATTTTAATGAAAAATAATAAGCCACACATCCAAGAAGCTCAACAACCTCTGAATAGGAAACTGGAAAGAAATCCACACCCAGCTACATCATACCCAAAATGTTGAATGACAGGCAAAGAGAAAATATCAAAAGCAGTGAGAAAACAATGTATTACATTCAAGGGAAACCAAATAAGAGCAATAGCTGACTTCTCATCAGAAACAATGGAGGCCAGAAGGCAGTGGGATGACATATTCTAAGGGTTCAAAGAAAAAAAAAAAACCTGTCAAACAAGAATCTTCTAAAAAAACAAACAAGAATCTTCTATCCAGCAAAACTATCTTTCAAAAATGAAAGCAAACAATGAGCACACTCAAATTTTGGTTTCTAATTCTATTCTCAAATACAAGGAACCAGGGCTCCTTGGAGAAATGGCTAATT